CAAAACATAACACAGGAAGAATTCTACCATCCAATCCCCAAAGGCAGAAATTATCTCTGTGTTTGGACCGGTATGTTAACAACTTCTTGACTACCAAGGCTACGACACGGCCCCTGATAACTAACAGAAGAGCTAACAGCAATCATCAAGGCGAATAAAGCCGGGAAGAAACAAACGACTCCATTGGGGAGTCTATTGGAGGAGTACAGATAGATCACAATCAACAACGGCGAAATCATCTGGCCCGATCAAACGGAGTGAGCAATCAATCCACCAAATTTTGGGATCCAAAGTATTCCGAAAATTCGTCCCAGCCAACCGCGAACTTTCGAAAACTTTGGAGGGGGTTCTGTAGGCTGTCTAAAAATCACAATAGATAGCTTATTCAAACAAGCTCCGACAACGGAGGTCACAATCAGACGACTTCCCAATCACTGCATCCGTAACTCCACAATCGCCACAAACACGACCTCACTTCTGAGATGATTGATCTTGATGGCTGCGACAACAGCACTAATATTATATTAACAACTATTAGAGATGCTGATGAGTAGTGGGATGATTTCAGAAATAAAAAGCTGGACTTAGTTGGTGAGTTGCTTGGTAGAGAGCTGTGGGCAAATATTCATCTTTGAGACACTATGGATGTTGATTCCCGTCTAGCTCCTATAACGAAAGCTACAATCAAATAGGTTTCGCGCCGATAATCAAAACATACAATCAGATAGTTGTTTGGTAGAGAGCTGTGGGCAAATATTCATCTTCAAAACACTATGGATGTTGATTCCCGTCTAGCTCCTACAACGAAAGCTACCATCAAATAGCTTTCGGGTCGGTGAACGAAAGTTGCGAATGGAGGGCTTTTCACATAGATCGAGAGGAGTTACAATTCAACGACACTTCCGACAACGGATGAAAACTCTATTCAGCAGTCTTCACAATCTACAGTGAAAGTTACAATCTGACGACTTTCACACTCCACAACAGCTAAAGCCAGGATTACTGAACAACGGTCCTTGCAATGCAACACAGAAGAAGCTACAAGTCAAATAGCTCATTCTGAGACGCGGATGTCATCCCCGCGTCACCACTTTGGAAATG